AAAAAGAAAAACCCACACACAAAAACCCAGGCTTCTTGTCAAAAGCAGATGTAAAATGTCCCGGACACATATTTCTGCAGCAGTTTAGATTGGCTGAATAGGAAAGTGCTGGGCTGGAACAATGCATTGATTCTGTTGTTTCCCAAATGATGTGTTGCCATTAGCCAGGGATGGCTGGAAATTTGTTATCTAATGTACAAACCGCTCCCAGCACACGGTGTGGGGCAAAACCTGCCTTTTTAAACCGTGTTTTAAACTCCACGTTGATTAAATCATTATTAACWCTGCTCTGATGAGGCAGATTTTTAAGGCAGATGCTCAGATTGTCCATTACCCAAAAAAATTGAGAGGAGATCATGGAAAAACCACGATGCAGAACCAAACCCTGACACATTTGGGGATAAATCAGAATTCGCCGTAACCCAACTTGCAGCCCGGTGCTCCGAGGTGGCTTTGGCAGAGGAAGATCCCAAACTTTCCCCTTTGGCTGTGCCTGTGTGTGCAGGAACACGCGTGTGGTTGGGCTGTTGAAAAGGTTGTTGACAAATGGCCTGGTGCGGTGCGGTGTCAAATTCTATCGTTTACGGCGACAGAAATTACGGCTGCCAGAAAAATTAAAAAAAAAAAAAAAAATCAAAAAAATAAAACCTAAGATGAGGTCTTTGAGAAACCCTCCAAAAAGGGGGAGTTTAGTTGGGTGGTGAGACGTTTTATGGGTAAGAGGGGAGCAGATTTCTCCTCAGTGGAGAAGAAATCCCAAAGAAGGAGCTGTGTGGGTTTGGGGTCAGCTCCTGCGTTTCCTGGGGAGTAAGAACGGGAAGCGTGGGCTGGGCTGCCATCCTCCCTGTTCCCCAGGTTTTGGGGACAGAGAAGCCAGGAAAGGCTCTCTCCTTGGAGGGACTCTGGTTCCMCTCTGGCTGCAAGCAAAACAAAGATCAGAGGAGCAGTTTGATTGGAAAATCAGAGCCTTGGGAACTGGGKAAATGCCACCTGGCCCCGGCGAGCGCCAGCAGGTCACTGAGAAAAAAAAAATAAAAAAGAGAAAAAAGCCACGAGAACTTTTCCTGCTCTGCTCCACGCAATTCCAGACAAGCAGGAGCTGCAGGAGAAACTTCTTTTTGCCTTTTCTCCTGGAAGGCTGCACCGTTGAGTTTCTGATGTTTCAGCCGAGCCTTCCTCCCCACCAAAAATGTCCCCGTCCTCACCTGTGCCCCTTCCCTTGCGGCCGCCTTCCCCTTTTGCTTCCGAAATATTCCACGGGCTCAACAAAAAAGGGGAAATGAGGAAAAGAGGACAGCTTGCTGATATTCCATTAAGTGGGGAAAACCCATCCAGGAGGGATGGCAGGACCAGCAGCAAAGTGCAAARGACGACACAGACCCAAAGCCCGCACCAGTAAGACCAGTCTGCCGCCTCTCCTCGCTCACTGGGGACCAGTGCCTCGCCTCCCCTGGGGCTGATAGCCCCTTCCCACCTTTTCCATGCCGGAGAAGCCGCGTTTAACGTGCGTGTGTTTGATCCCCAGCCCTGGCTGCAGGCTCGCGGGGCTGTTTCCAGTATGAAACACCAGCATCCTATTTCATTTTCTCCTTAAAGAAGCAAACAGATGTTATCTCTGGGAACAAAAYCTAATTCTGTAGTGTATGAGAGCAGCGCAGTTAACTGGGGGTGTAGTGACATTGGAACGAAGCCCTCTTTTGTCCCAAAAGCCCCATTTATTTTATTTTCTTTTTTTTTAATRCGCATCCTTCAAAAAATGTAAATAAGTTTCCTTGACAGGAAGGATTGTAAAGTTTGGTATTTACATTAACAGCCTCGGAGAGGGGAGGGAGGGGGTTGGATTCATCTCGGTGCGTTTAGAAAGCCCAGCAAAATGCATTTCGGATCCTCTGTTTACGTTCGTGTCGTTCCTCGGGAAAGGATAAATCTGTTACCCGGCAGACACCGAACACGCTGCGGCCAGCCAAAAAAAACCGCTCCGGCTCGGGGATCTTTGAAAAAGAGGGTGCGAGGGAAATGCTCCGGAGAAGGAGACATGCGAGGAGACAAATCTGCCAGGGAATAAATGAATTAACCATCAGAAAGAGCTGGAGACACGCACGGCCGGGGGGGGGGGAAAGGCTGGAGCGGCTCCGAAGGAGCGCTTAGGAAAGTGGTAAAAACATGTTATTACTTAATCAGAGCTTAAAAAGAGGCAGAGCTGCGGTGGAAGCCCTATCGGGACAGCCGTGCGTTGAAGGGTCATTAAGGGAACAATCCAGGCAGACATTTCGGCTAAGTGGCCCTAATTTGTCTCCAAATTAGTCATCCTCGCACCGCTCGGCCCCGCGCAGCCAGCCCTCATTTCCAAAGCATCCTCATTAAAACAAAGAGCAAGATTGGAGAGGCTTCTCCTCCCTCGCATTCCTCCTTCCCCCGGCGCTTTTTTGGGGCGTATTTCCCGGAGTTTGAGGTAGCGGTGATAAATGAGCCTCGGAGATCCCACAGGCTCTTGTAGGGCCGGGACAGATCCCCTAAGCGCCGCTGAGAYCTCTTTCGGGGACATTTCACGTGGCTCCTTCCCCCGGCAATAGAATTATTTTTATAGCCCTAGCCCTGAGAATCATTTCCATGTGCTTCGGCACGGCTTTGAAATCTCCGAGCCCAAAACCTGCAGGATTTCAGAATTTATGTCTTGCCGGAGAGCTGCAGGAACGGTTTGATGAGGCCGCGAGGGGCGGCACCGCAACCCCAAAATGCAGAGCGAGCCCGAAATGCGGGCAGGGAATTACAATCGGCCGGGAAAAGCAGATATTCCAAGGAGTTTTTTAACCCTTCTTGCCAGGTTTTGCAGAAAATTGGGAAGCGGGGTTGGAAAAAAGCAGATTATTCCTTGCAAATTGGCGATTCCACCTCAATGGGTCCCGTTTTTACTCCTTCGAGCAAATTTGGAAGTGAGGAAAACCAAGAATCCCTCCAGCTGGGATATTAGCAGATTGGTACTAATTAACGATCAGTTCTGAAGAATTAAAACAGGAGAAATATTTGCCAGCGATTTA